TTAGCTCTTTTGTCTAGCAAATCCATTTACACAGTACCTAGGTAATATGATGGTGTAGTGATAAAGATAGTGACGAGACACTGCACTGGATAGGCAGAGGCAGAATAATTAGTCCCAGCTTGCTTTTTGAAGGAGACTATCTTATTCTTGAGGGTCTAATTCTAACAACATCTGTCACAAAAGTTGAAGTCAGGGCTGGAAACTATGCATCAGCAGCTTTGCTGACTAGCTAAATTATTTTAGTGTAATACTGCATATTTCTTCTGCAGAATATTCTTCCCACAGTACCTTGCTGCTTCAGAATTCATTTTTATTGCAAAAATGACTGGTTAATGCAGTTGGTTTAAGGTGAGTTTCTGTAATAACCACAGAAGGCTTGTTTATTGGAATATTGAACAAGGCTAAATCTAGGTGTTTGAGATTTTTTTAATTAAAAATAAACCCCTGTATGCTCTGCAGTTAAATACTGATGAAAGTATTCCTAGCTTTCCAAGTAAGATTTATGGTCCTAAAAATATTTTGAGAGACTAAATACTTATACAAGAAACGATGTAACTATTAGAATACAATGTTGTCTCATAATTAACTATCAGTATCTAGGTTTCCAGGTTAGGTCTCTGCAGGCATGAACTACAGCCTTAATTTCAGTCAGCACTCTTAATTTCAGGCTTTCTGTGGCTTTGTGAAGATGTCAGTGTGGTGGTTCTTGTTTTCAGAGCTATACCAAGGGATTACTTTTGCTGTTAAAAGATTCTGGAGAAAGTAGGAAAGAGATTTGGAACAAATTGCCAAGGAGGGCTTATATATGGGGCCTCAAGAGTTTGTATTTTAATGCTAAGGAAGTTCTGTAGTTTGTTTTATGTGCATTAACATCTGTCTGTGCATAGTGGGCAGGATAGGTTTTAGACACATTAAATGGGAAGCTACATGATACCTGGTGTATCTTTCTGACTCTAAGATTTGGAACGCAGGTATCAGAGGTGGATTGAGCACTAGGTACATGTTAAATCCTTGCAGGGCCACCTGCCGTGCTAAAAAAATGGGGAGAAGGCAGTGAGCCCGGAAGTTTCCAAACTGCAGTGTGTACTACATGAACAGTTCAGGACAGTGTGCAGTAGCAGTAGTGCTTGACTACTTGTGCAATGGTCCTTTCCCAAGCTGAGAACCAGGTGCTGCAGCCCTCTGTGATGCCAGCAGCCTCCCTCCATGGTGTGCCAGTTTCATGCCAGCTAAGAGGAAAAGATTGCAAGTCAAGAGCTGTGTCCTTACATGACATCATTGAATCGAGCAGGGATGGGAACAGAATCCAGGTTGCTGACAACATGTTTAGTGTTTTAGGCATACATTTTTTACATTATGGGTTTCAGAAGCATAATGGTAGGAGCTTTTAAAATGCATAAAATAGAGGACGGTATTTGTCCCTTCCTAGTAAACTTCATTTGTGCCTTTGCCTTGTCAGAATACTGAATATAATTCAAACCCCGAGGTTCAGGAAGTGATGAGGTAAGGGCTAGCACAGATTTTAACATAATCTAAATGCTGCCCAGGGAACTGATTTTACCTGTTGGGACATCCAGTTCAGTAACATCAGTAACTATAAAAAGGAGGTATGAAAAGCTGAGAAAATACATTTTTGTTTGTATTTGCACCTTTTATTGTATATCTCCAGCTTCAAGTAGCTGGGAAATATTTTAGCAAAGGGAAGCATAGCTGTTAGCTCACAGCAAGAGCCACCTTTGAGGAAGCAATTATACCTATTTAAGGATAGGATTTGTTTGGTTGCATTGTGAGTGGCAAACAAGGCTTTCTCCTCGTGTGTTGCCAGTGATGTGATGAGATGTGACATGACAGCTGGTAGTCTGTGGGTGAAATGAGATGTCACGGAGTGAAGGAATTCTCCGATCAAAGGTGGAGGGTTTGTAACATTTAGTGCATCTGAGGGCATTTTAATATGTACAGCACAAACATTTGCTGTAGCTCTTGTTTGTTTTAGATGACTAACCCAAAATTGGATGTGGCCCATGGTGGCTGTGCTTTCCTCCTAGGGGGGTTGTAGAGCTTGTAACATGGAATTATAATGTTCTTAAAGAAGGTTTCAGCTGCACTTCGATGCTTCTATTCCCTCAACCTTTTATTTCCAGTTTAAGTTGTGAGGATTTTGCTGCCCTTTATGTTTTCTAAGGAGGTTTCTGTGCTTGTAAGATCTCCAGTTACTTTGTACATTAATTACATTTAATAAATATTTTTTTTTTTTCAGTATCGTCATGTAACAGATTTTCTGCTTTTTTTTTTAGGCAAGGAAGGCAGGCATCTAGGAGCCCAGTGGTATAACCTTCCCCTGGGATACAGGAAATGCAGATTTTAATTCTCTTGACCTGGAAGACAAGAACAGGCATACTCAGTCAAATCAGGGTTTATTTTGTGTTCATCTACTATTCTGTCTCAGGCAGGGCAGGATTAGGTGAATAAGGTATAACAGCTCAGAAGTGGAATAGTGCTTCGGTCTTCTCAGCTTTTTTGATGTCTGCCTCATTATGTTTAGTAATGCTTGATGTACTTTTCTCACATAAATTCATCTAATGGGAGATCAGCTCTGTCATGTCCTAGAAGGTAGACTCAATTCCTTTCATAAAATAAAAGGAAAATACTTATACGAGGTTGTAGCTGGTGATGTTCAGAGGCTGATTCCAGGCTAGCTTGGCAGTGGCATGAAACTCTTCAGATCTGAGCTCAGGTCTCCACTGCTTCCTTGAGTATGGGGAGAGGTATACCTAACAGAGAGTGTGATGGCTGGCTTCTGTAAGAAATGATGTAACTTAGAATCATAGAATGGTTTGGGTTGGAAGGGACCTTAAAGATCATCCAGTTCCATGACTTTCTTAAGCCTGAAGGCAGTCCAAGACCACCTTTACACCTTCCACTAACCACCACTTATCTCAGTATTTTCTGTGGAGCTTGCTCAAAGGAGCATTGTAGGGAGAGGTGAATTCCAATGAGATTCTGGAAGCTGCAGCCTCACAGCCTCTCTGTGGATTTAGCTGTCAGTCATTTATTTTCCTTTCATCATGCTCAGTTCCATTTTGTGAGGGGGAGGTGAGGACTCCACAGGGTAGCAGAGCCTTTCTCACATACTAAACGTTTGCAACTTTTTCCTTATTTGCCTGATGGGTCAGCTGTGCTTCGAATGTAAAATTTGACTTCCCATGAGAACTTCAGAGCATGCTGACCCAGCTTCCCAGATGAGTCTGTATGGTGCCCTCAAGATGTCCACTGAAATGCCTGTCCTTAAGGCCTGGCCCCAGGTACCTGGGACAGTCTGAGATTCAACCTTACTGACCTGCAGTGTCTGTCTTGTGATACTACCTAGAGGTTGTCTACATCAAGATGCCTAGCTGCATATGACTGCTTCTTTTAAAATGCGTCACATCACTCAGCACAGCTAGAATTAAACCCTTAATAATGTTTTTGTTATTGCTTTCCCAATGGGACACTGGGTGCCAGCAAATTGCAAAGTAAGCTGAGACAGTGAAGGAGTTTTGGAATACTTGCATAGTCTTCCTCTTGGAGATGAGAGACCTGAGCTCCCTGGGATTTGCTGGGTTTTGGAAGCACTTGCTCATGTTAGCTAAAAGCGTGCAATACATTGCGCTCTTTCTTTTGTCACACAACCTTCCTCCAGTATCTACAAAAAGGCTTTCATGCAATCTGGCATGTCAGCTGTTGCCTTTGTGCATTGTGTTGGGTCTGGGATAAAGCGTAAGCTCTTCAGCCCTGGAGCTTTATCGTATGTCATGGATGCTGATGGTGCTCTGGTTAAGAAAAAAGCAACCAAGCAAACTTACAATTAACAATAACTAAGTAGATTTGGGAACTGTGAGTTCTTACAGGTAGTTGCATTTTTTTAAAGGTTTTCCTATTCTTTCCCCTTTGAAAGCTGTTCATCTTGGTATTTTCACTATGGAAAACTGCATTGTTAGGAAACAGACTTGTATGTAGGTCTCAGTATTACAAGATATATCTTCAGAAAGCCAATTAGTGCTTGAAGTAGAAGCTAATCTACTTCACAAGTGTAATTTGTCTTACAAACAGTAGCAAGCAACCACGCTGCAGAGTACCATCTTAAGAAAAAGCAAGTCTAGTTTGTTTCCATACATCTATTCTGTGTGTTTCTGTTTCTAGAGGCTTTTTCCACTAACCTAATGCGTGTGTCAGTGTGAACACTGTGTGGAGACAGTACAATGCTGCAGCATTACTCCTCCAGGGAGAGGGCTTAATCAGCCCTAGGGTGAGTTGTTAAATTAGGGAGGTGACAGACTGTAGAAAAGCAGCAAAGATGTGAAATCTTTGAAAAGAGAAATGTGACTCTACCTTCTGTAGGGGAGCGGTTCTGTTACACATTGTAAGCAACAGATAAATAGAAAGCAATTCTGTTATGTTATGAGCTGAGTTGTTGGAATGAGCAGTTAGAAACCAAGCTCACATGGACTCCAAAGTATGGAACAAAAATCAAATCAACTGTGCTATAAATAAAGCACCAGGCTGCTGACAGATCTTCCCCAGTGCAGATCAGTAGTAAGATCACGATCCATTCTCTTGAGAAATACGGTTTGTGCATTAGTATGCTTGAGTTTTACCGAAAACCCTGTTGTTTTAGGCATGAACTAGCAAGGCAGTGTTGGCACTGTAAGTGTAACATGCCCTCTGCAATTCTATTTTCAAATGCAACTTAGAACAGACTACAGGTGTCAGTGTGGGCACTGAGCATCTTTACTGTGGCAGCTTATGTATCTCATTTTGAGGAGGGCCAAAAGCTGCAGCTGAGGCATGGGATGTTGTAAAAATTAAGGTACTCCAGCTCTGGCTGTAATCAGCATGCTGTCAAGTTGTACCATCAGCCTTTGGGGGCAGAGGGGAGGAAAAAATAGAAAATGGAGTGCCGTTGAGCTGAAAATGGAAGTCGATGCATAGACTGACTGTGTGTGTTTGTTCTTCATTGACAGATTGATGACACCTGGCAGTGAAATTCGATTTGTCCATAAGCTCATGGGTCTGGTGCCAGGCTGGGGAGGAGGTGCCCGGCTGGTGCGGATCATCAGCAGGAGGGCTGCCCTCCAGCTCCTCAGTGGGGCTACCAGGGTGGACCCCGAGAAGGCTTTGCACCTTGGGCTGTCGGAGGAGACACTCTCATCTTCGGATGAAGCTGGAGCGTTAGAAGAAGCCCGAGCCTGGCTAAGTCAGTACACAGAGGGTCCAGTCAGCGTGATTCGGGCTGCAAAAGAGGTGGTGGCAGTGGGAAGAGAGCTACCACTGGAAGCAGCCCTACAGAGAGAGAAGGACATTTTTGGAACTCTGTGGGGTGGGCCTGCCAATTTGCAGGCACTGGCTAGAAGTCCAAAACATAAATGACCGTCAGTGCATAAGAAATGTTCCTGGCCTTTTTGCAAACAAAGCTTTCGCTAAAGCAGGCATTTAACTGAATCATTTAGGGGCTTCATCATTTAAACTGACATTAACATTCCAATCGTTCGCATCAGGCAGACATATTTGGTGTGCAACCACATAGAAATCCCCTGCAGATTCTTTGCTGTCCTAATCATTCACTGAATGGAGATGAGTGAAATTAGTATGTAATTCTTCTGGAATGAGGCTGAAGATTATTTTCTTCAGAGTTAATTTTGGTTTTCTAACTGGTATGGAAATAAATTGCTTGAAAGATACAAGGTGTATGTATTTGCAGAACAGGTGCATCTAAAGCTGCAGAATATGAGTTTCCCCACATGAGACTAGTGTCTTTAAGCAGCTTGGAAGCGATGGTAACTGGTGAGAGGATAGCTTTTGTTTTTTTCTTTGTCAGTTCTTTTTATAATTGATGAGAAAGTATCCAAGGATACTTAAATTTTAATTATTTTTACAGGAGAAGCTCTGAGTTACTGAGAAGTTTATAGCCCTCGTTCAGTGATGGTGATTCAGGTTTTTAAATGCATTTAGGTGCCATCTCACTGTTTGAGGAGCCAGCTACCTACATCTGCATCTGCACATTCCCATAGCCTCCACCTGCGCTGCTGAGCATATACAATGCTGCTGACCTCATTCTTTACAGAGAATCTAGCTGGAATCTTGGAAGCCCATGAGGTACCATGCATCCAAATGGGATACCCTTGACTGACTAGGTGGTCTGAGTACTCTAGCATTCTGGAAGGATGTATAGATCTGTCTACCTTTTTCTTCAGCATATTTTTACTGGTAGAGCATATTTGGGCTGACCAGATTTGGCACTCCACCTTCAATTCATGCCAGTGACTCTGCAAGTAACTAGATAACTCAGTGATTTTAGAAATCAGAAACTGACACCGAGTCCCTACTTTGGTAGATGAATCTCAAAATGAAACAGGAAAGCCCCTCTCTGGATTTCTTGTAGGCCCTTTTTAGGTACTGGAAGGCTGCTCTAAGGTCTCCCTGGAGCCATCTCTTCTCCAGCCTGAACAAACCCAACTCAGCCTGTCTTTATAGGAGAGGAACTCCAGTCCTCTGATCATCTTCACAGCCCTCCTCTGGACTCACTTGAGCAGGTCTGCATCCTTCTCATGCTGGGGGACCCAGAACTGAATGTGGTACTGCAGATGAGGTCTCATGAAAGCAGAGTATGACTTCTACAGTGTGGCAGGATTCTGCAGTTAGAGACAGTGAGGTAACTGTACATATGTTTGAGGATCTTGGGGCAGATCAATGAAGGCAATTAGGCCTGGATTGCCTGTTAAGATTCTGCAGCTTTTGAGCAGATGCTGTGCTCTGCTGGGTATGTTTCACTATATGGTTTTCACAGTGGGGAGTGTGTATAGCCTGAAGCAACCAGAAGAAATGCTTGGGAAAGGGATGTGTTTTGAGTTGGCACCTCAGGGAAGGTAAAGCACTTACTCTGCACTGTTGATCCTGTCTGTTTGCCTTCACACCTGGAGCTGTTGCTGGGGGAAGATTTCAAACCTCTCTTCTCCAGAAATAAAGTTCAGTTTTCACTTCCAGGTTAAAGTGACACAAATGGGAATGTGGGGAAGAGAGTAGTGTTATGGTTTGTGCCTCTTCCCCCCCCCAAGCCCTTTTTTATCTAGCAGCTCAGTTGTTAGTCCCCTGTGCAGCTAGATTCTTTCCTGTGTACTCTGAAGCACTTCAAACTCATTACTTCTGAAGTACAGATGTTTTAATATAGTCAGGCAGTACCTGACTGTTTAGTAATGAACTTTTCTGCTTTTCATGAAGTTCCTCAAGACTCTTGAGGGATTCCAGACTGCCAGCACCACTGAACCTTCAGAGCATGTTCCAGTCTGTGCTCATCTGACTTCTTGAAGCAACAGCCCATTGCCGTGGGTCAAAAAAATTGTGCTTTAAAGGGCAATTCCTTGTGTGTTTGCTAGTATCAAATTTGCCTTTACTAATACTGTGATTATGTTTATAAAATGGATGTAAAAATTGCTTAGAACCTGAGCAAGACTCTTGAATTTTTAATTATTCTTCAGAAGCCAGGCTGAAAGGCTCATTATTCCATGCACTGGGTGATACACATTTGAAACTGTAGCAGAAAAATCTGTTTTACTTGCATGTTGTGAATTAGACCTGTGTGCCAGGAAGCGAAATTCAGTATGTACATCTATTGGGACCTCTTTCCGCTTCAATTTGCAGACAGTGAGCTTACTTCTCATTTCAGTAAATCCATTTCCCCAGCCATCCTCTCCAATTTGTATCAAAGTCCAACATTTGCTTCTGAGAACAGGACAAATAATTAACAAGTACTGGGTAAGACACTTTCAGAAAAGTTTCAGAAAAGGCTACAGAAACTCATTTTGTTGGGATCACAAATACACCAAACTTAGCTTCACGAGAGTCTGAAGATAATGACAGGTGTTTGTTTTGATCAAGGATTTTGACAGCAGCCTAATCCTGTATTTTCTGGTTTCTTTTCTGTTTCAAAAGCAAGTACATCCCTTCATACAAAACCCCACCTAAATTACCATGAGTGCTAACTTGAGAGCTACAGACTGAGATGAAACAGAATCCTGTTTTACTAATTTCAATCCAGAATGCTTTATTTCATTAAATACTTTATCATCTTAAAGTGAAAAATACTGTAACCAGCAGCTGATAAGCATTTATTGTCTTCACAGTTGTTAGACTCCAAGCTTCATCTCTTTGTTGCCCTACAGAAATGGCCTAAACCAAACAAGCAGAAAATGCACAAAATAAATTATAAACTTCAAAACTGATACTCCCAGTCTCTAATTAAATGGTGTGCTAGCTTTTGTATTTCCTAAGGGCTAGTCTGCCAGCTCCCTCCTCAGCAAGCTAGGTTTCCTACTACATTGTGAAATGCCTGTCGTGTTCCCTTGCCTCTGTGTACTGTGACAGCCTGAGTGTTTAATGGTGGTGTGGATTCAGCATTGTGTCTTTAAAGGTTGGATACTCTTTTTAAAGGAGACCACTTTTAGCAATATAGATATTTTATCGTATTTGCTGCTGACAGAAAGATACTTGCCAAATGGGCAATCTAGGTAAGCTAGGTGTTCCTGCTGAATGCTCAGTTCACTATGTCATTTTTTTTTACTGTGACACAGGATTCTTGTATTATCTCTTCCGGAAATTAAGAGATGGCATAGATCTTAATTTCCCTTCTCTGTTTTAGTCTGCTCTACCATGCATTTCTCTAGCTATGCTATACAATTTGAAATCCACGCAATGCAGTGTGGCTGTGGCTTAGCTAATATTGACAGAGAACATGTTTCCTGCTGAAGGGAATGGTTTAAATGCAAGATAGGAATTACTGGTTACTACTTTTTTCCTGGCTTGATCTGGGGAGTGCATTTGCCACTCCAATAATTGGCTATTAAGCTCTCACTGGCCTTACTTTAATTTTAGTACTTCACAGCCAGCAGGAGCCAAAAGCAGCATCACGGGTGTTCAGCCAAACAGAGGTCTGCCTCCCTACTTTGGTCAAGAATCTCCAAGAATGATCGCTGATAAAATTATTTGTAGGCTGTTTGGGCTGAGAATCTTAGAATTAAGTGTATAGCAAGTCAAGTTCTTGTATTTTGTTTCTTGCTTTCTTCAACAGCAGATACCCTCAGATCAAGTAAAATGTGTGCATATAACAGAGGTGGCATTACTGAAGGGTTTTGCAGCACAAAGTCAGACTTTGATTAGAGCCACTAACGTATGCTAACTCAAAACAAAGAAATGACAGTAAAAATCTGTGATCGAGAGTATCCATTCCTTGACAAGAAGGAAATCTTCCTTACTTCCACCCTAATCTCCTCTGCACTCCTTTGCTGCCTGACCCACTGATCTTACCTGCAGGCAAAGGACACAAAGTGGAGGGCTGTCACAGCTCTGCCCAAGATCAGACACAGCAGCCATCATTACAGTAAGGAGAACATTTCAGAAGTTTAATTCTACCATTTCTAAAAAACAGCCCTTCTAATTCCCTTCAAATGATTACCTGCCAACAGCAACTTCTGTCTGAAGACATGTAGTACCTATGTATCAGCTACTGTCCCTCTCTATGCAGGGATACATGTACTCAGAATTGCAGATTAATTAGCTTTACTTTAAAGACTGAGTCCAGAATCAGCTGTTTCTCACTTTGAAAAAAAAATGTAAACCAACTGCTATCAACAGAAAAGACAAGCTGTGCTTTTCAATCTTCTCCATACACAGAAGACAGTTTGTTGAAACGCATCTCCTAGATTGCTAATACAAGTACAAAACTACCTTTCCTGCACTGCCCTACTTTTGCTATGAAGAACAGACGAACAGCAACATAGTCCTTAACATCCGTGTTCTTTGTTACAGGTTCAAGTCTGATAACTCATGCTCTTTTACTTCAATGTTTCTGTTGCTGATGTAGGGCTGTGTGTGGTACTTCTACCTGCTGTAGGACTGAAGCGAGCTGATCAGCTTTTCAGATGAGAGAAGAGTGTTAAGCCTGTGTCAGCATTAAGCCTGCAACTCATGATTTTTCAGAAGAAAGACATACAGTGTGGTGTTTGACAGGCACCCAGTCTGGGATGCAAGAACGTGAACATAACATTCAGAGCAAGTCCTCCTTTGTGGCAAACACTGGAAGATGGTTTATGATAATTTCCTTTAAAGTTCTTCCAGTGAAGCTCAATTAAACTGGAGACGTATCTGAGATTGTTACTGATAAAATGTAGTTTTATTAAATTATAAATTCCGTAACAAAAACAAGACAGATCAAGAAAGACCTCAAAAACAAACCTACAAGGACTAGATGGCAAAGCCAATGAAAATGCCATGAAGAGTGTATAGGTAAGAATTTGCAACAAAAGTTAACAGCATTTTTACATTTCCATTGAAGAAAGGTAAATGATTGCTCTTGTCTAGTAAAAACACATTTTTAACTCCAAGCTCACATCTATTTTCTCACATTAAATAAAGCTTCCTGCTCACACCCAACATCCTGCCTGCTCCCACATTGCTTTAATGTTCTTTTCATACATCAATCCATGCAGAAAGTAGTAAGACACTTAATGCAACAGTCAGATAATGAAGACAATTCAAGTTGTACAGTAGATATACATTGGCCAAAAAAGGGATTGAGTATCTCCAAGGGGAAAATGCTACAAAATAAACACAAGACATTTTCAAGAAAACTGGGCATTGCTAAGCAGCTTTCAAACCATTAAAGAGGACAACCCAGTTTCCTACAATTAATAGTCTTCCAGCTGAGACAAGTTAAGAGACTTAAGTTAAACAGGCCAAATCTGTTTCTCCCCTTCACCCCACCTCCCCACCAAACACACTGCTAGGTTTGAGTGCAATGCCAACGTGGACAGAAAATTTACAGATACAGGACTGAGTTTTTAATCGCATGGCTCTAGATTTAAACTTCAGTGACTGTGCACTGTCCATCTGGCCTTCTAGATCTTACACTTGTGTTTGCCACCCCGCCCCCTGCCACTGGTCTATCCGCTCCCAACTGGCTTGCACTTGCATTCAAGTGTCTCTGCTGGACAGAGGACAGGTGCTGCTGAAGGTGGGCAGACACATCCTCACTATCGCTGCTAGCATCCGATTCGGTCTCCTCAACAGAGGTGTCGGGGGCTGGCACCCTACCAGAAGATGACGATTCATGGTCTTCTTCTCCCTCTCCCCTGTGACTCCTTTCAGCCATACTGTCTTCATTTAATTGCAAGTGGGCAAAAGAGTTCTCTAGGGAATTGCTCGCATCAGGTGATGGCGTTGAAGGACTCATCAGTTGACCATCTAGTGATGGCAGGGGCCTAGCAGAAATGGATGCTAGAGGCTGCCCAGCCGCAGCCCCCAGAGTCGGTGTGCTGTCTGCACCATCAGCAGAGCTCTCTCTTGCCAGGTTGACAGTGTTAGCGTCACAGTCCAACCTCAGCCCAGCCACTCCCTTCTTTGGTATATCTATTATGTCCCGTTTTATTTTTCTGCGGCGTCCATGCTCATTTCTCCTATACTGAACCATATTTTCAAGGTCTGCTACGTATAAAAACCCGGCAATTAGCATTTCAGTGCTCTTTTTACCCTTGGAAAAGGCATCTTCCAGCTCTCTGCTGGTACGTTCATCATACTGCCACCAACCATTTCTACCTTCATAGTACCAAGCATATTCTCCATTGCCTCTGCTTGCTGCTTTGAGTTCTTCTGGTGACAATAGGGTTGGCTTGTCAAGAAAATCCTCTGGGATCTCCTGCCGGCAAAGTGCACATCGTTTCCCAAGCCAAGAAGCTCCCTTCACACACAGATAGCAGAAAACATGTTTACAAGGCAGACTTACTGGGTGCACACACGTTTGCAGACAGATAGCACATTCAGGGACTGTCAGGGAAGGTGCTGCATTAGCACACGACTCATTCGTCTTCCTATTTGTGGGAAGCATGTTGATTGAATGATCTATTTCGCCACAGCCAGCCATCCTGAAAAGGATCAAAGATAGATTTCAATCAGTTTACTGTGTCAAACTAAAGTGGTACCTTACGTCACCTTTGACCTCAACACACACAGAATGAGATGCTCACCTTAAATTATCATTTATGAAGCTCAACTAAAAGAAACTGACAGGTTAATATTCTGCTTCCTGAGCTGACAGACTAGAGTACTGGGAACATTTATTTTGCTAATCACCAATCTATCTGTTTAATTTTCAGCATGTTATCATGTCAAATTAGAAGATGAATTTTGGAATTTCCTCTGTTCTTTCTCTTAACTATGATTAATGAACCTTCAGTCAGACAGTTACTTTGGAGCCTCCTCAGGAAATTTAAAGAAGCTTGGTTCTTCCCTCAAGAGATGATCTAGCTGCAAACATGGTGATCATCTGTTTGATTAAGGGATTGCCTGAACAGTACCTCATACTAGGTATGTTTCCACACTAGCAAATATACCCGGCAGCAGCATACAGCTGAAGTATTCCCCCACTCTACCATCCCTCAAACTGAGCTCAGAACAACCACAGGGATGCAGAAAGAACCAGATTTGAAAAATTAGCTGGGTTTTTGTTTTGGTTATTTTTATTTTTATTTGGTTTGGTTTCCTTTTTCCTAAACACCAAGTGAACTCCCTGATATAGCTGACATGCTTGTGAGGTGGGCTGATGCCAGCCTTATGAAGTTTAACCATGCCAAGTGCAAGGTCCTACACCTGGGTTGGAGCAATCCCAGGCACAGCTACAGGTTGGGCAGAGAAGAGATTTAGAGCAGCCCTGTGGAGAAGGACTTGGGGGTGATGGTTGATGAGAAAATGAACATGAGCCAGCTTCAGTGTGCACTCACAGCCCAGAAAGCCAACTGTATCCTGGGCTGCATCAAAAGGAGCGTGACCAGCAGGCCGAAGGAGGTGATCCTGCCCCTCTACTCTGCTCTTGTGAGCCCTCACCTGGAGTATTGTGTGCAGTTCTGGTGTCCTCAACATAAAAAGGACATGGAACTGTTGGAACAAGTCCAGAGGAGGGTCATGAGGATGATCAGGGGACTGGAGCACCTCCTGTATGAAGACAGGCTGAGGAAGTTGGGGCTGTTCATCCTGGAGAAAAGAAGGCTGCATGGAGACCTCATAGCAGCCTTCCAGTATCTGAAGGGGGCCTACAAGGATGCTGGAGAGGGACTCTTCCTTAGGGACTGTAGTGACAGGACAAGGGGTAATGGGTTAAGACTTAAACTGGGGAAGTTTTGATTGGATATAAGGAAGAAGTTCTTTACTGTAAGGGTGGTGAGGCACTGGAATGGGTTGCCCAGGGAGGTTGTCAGTGCTCCATCCCTGGCAGTGTTCAAGGCCAGGCTGGACAGAGCCTTGGGTGAGATGGCTTAGTGTGAGGTGTCCCTGCCTATGGCAGGGGGGTTGGAACTAGATGATCTAAAGGTCCTTTCCAACCCTAACTATTCTATGATTCTGTGAGTATCTCTAAAGGAATTGTAGCCCAGCAGAAGGAGCAGTGTACCACAGAAGATATGCAACCATAATTTGATTGATGTGTGAAGTCGCTGCCCCTACCTTCTCTGCCCATATCATATATCTGTATTAGAGATGATTTTGTAACCAACTGTAAGACAGAAGGGAATGCAAAACTGTCACTTTGGCATTGTGTAGGATTTCAGTAGTTGAAAAATTCTAGTCTAAATATGCAAATGCCTTCTCAACTACATTTTTGCCATGGCAATCTTTCACAGTCTGTTTCATGGTAATTTGCCTTTTATGTTCTTATTTTATTATTTATTAGCAAACCAAACACTAGATGTGAAATGAGGGAGAAAAATGGGCTTTGGGAGATGGAGCCCAAAAAGCTGCCTTTTCTCACTTAAATCCCCAAGGAACTTTGAGGCTGATATTCAGCAAACCAGCCTTTCAACCAAACTTGTCTTTGTTGTACAAGCAGCTAGGAATAGTTAATGCAAAATTATCACAGGTATGAGTGCCAAAAGGGACCTTTTGAGGTAATGCAGACCAGTCTCCAGCTCCACATGGCACTACTACCAAACTAAACAAGATCAGCCACAGCTTTGGCTAGCTGACTTTTTTGAAGCCTGCAAGGATGGAGATACCAAAACTTCCCTGGATGGCCTGTTCTAACGTTACACACATTTCTAGCAGAAAGTGTTACCTCAACAGCAAATGCCTCATTTACTGCAAAAGACTCTGCTGCCATAAACATCTTATGAATACATTAAAAAAAAAAAAATAGCTTCAGTCAGTTTCTGTATTTATTTTTGCAATAATGTATTAAATTCTATTTACTTAAAAAATGTACTTCTGTATGCTGCCTGTTCCCTTCTATCACTATAATTTCCTCTCGTAAGACCAATGCCTCTTTAACCCATTTTTTATCAAATCATTCTTCTAAAAGCTCTACAGCTTAAATATTTTTCCTGAAGTAGCACGTAATTGCATCTACCTCTGTTTCAGTTTCATATCTCAATTTCTTTCTCTGAGATTACAGACAAATCTGGATACTAGATCTTAAATCAGCATGCCAGATACAGACACGCCACTACCTACCACCCAGTAACTGTCTTTTCACTGTACAGTACACATCTATCTGTGAGTTCCATGCTAACAAGGTGGTGAGTAAGTTGCTTTCTGGGAGTCTCACACTTTTAAGGTTATATTTTGCAACAGAATTTTTCACTAAAACTAGGATTTTATAATGAGAAACTTAATAGAAAAAGGGGGGAAGAAAAGCTATTGAGATTTCAGAATATGCCCACAAATACAACCTAACCATATCTCACAAAAGAGCTGAAAGAGAAATCCATGTACTGATCAATTTGTGCTAACCATGGCTGAGGTAAAGGATCTGAATTTTCAAGTGCTCTCATAATGAGATACTACTGTGCGAAAAGGCACAGAAGCAGATTTTTACTGCCATGCCACAGTTTTACAAAAGGCTGCTTTTCCCTGAATTCCCTGAATACACTTCATAAGGTTATCCTTTTCAGATTCAGAAATTAAAACAACCTGTAGATATGTAACTTCTATACAAGTCATGTACCATAATTAAGATTTTGGAGGGGATTAAAATGCACTGCTTGGATTATAAATGCAACACATTTTGACAAACCAAATTCTGATATCATAAACTAACTTATTAGTAAACTAAAAGAAGAGTGAAAGTTCTCACCTGTTTACTGAAAGCACAAAAATGCTAATATTTGAACTGTGCTCAATAGGTCACCCATTAATTTCAGGGTTCTTAATAGATTCCTTTCTAGAGCAAGACAATAATGCAGGGTATGAAAAGAAAGGAGTAAATACCTTATTCTGAATTTCCTATGTGATTTTTAGTGACTGAGGAAAACGTTAGGTGTAAAATGAATACAGCTGGAGGACTAAACCCTTATCTCTGAACAAGTGTTAGCCAGCAACTGAAACTCCTAAAAGATAAGCACAACTGCAGTTGAATGTGCTCAGAATGCAGGACAATTATGTATTTGAGGATTCATATCAACTAAACTGATGCTTAAACACTTTTTGTTTTTAAAGGAAGATCCTAATTAATCCTTTTTTGTTTACCTTTTTAAGTATAAAATGTAGGTCACAGAGTATGTTTACAAGCTGTTTTGAGGATGTACGTGTAGATTTTTACTGAAAGAAGGAAAACCATCTAGGACCAGTACCCTGCTATGTTACGGCTGTGGAAGCACTTTCATTGCAACTGATCACAGAATATTTTTCCTGAAATTAACAATAATCTGTAACAAGGTTTAATCAAAAAAGACTTCATATTAGAACTGTTATGAAACAGTTAAGGTCTGGTTTTTGGAGGGTTGGATTCCTTAAATCACTTCTGGCAAGAGGGAATATTACATTATTGAATAGTGAGGCTAAAAATTAATCAAACTCAAGGACAAGTTCTAAAAATAATTTTATGTGAAGTATTTAAATCTTCAATTTAGGTATAAGTAAGGGAACAATAAGCATCTGAACACTACATTTTAGCGTACATACAGCCAACTGAGAATGAGCGAGGCCACAATCTTACCAGATCCCACCTCTCTATTATCCTTTTGTGGGTGTTTTTTAATTATTAGTATTATTATTTAATATTTTATATAATATTTAATATTAATACTAAATATTTAGTATTTAATTTGTAGCTTAGGGTGCACAGCCTAGAGCACCTTCATCAACACACAAAGCATGGAAGAGGTGATGTATTAAATTATATGAAAAGACCCCAGGCCTTTGAGGACTCTACTGGAAGACAAACTAAATTCCCACAAAACCACCCCAGAACTGAGTAATTTTTCAAACTCAAGTCAAGTTCTAACTGCGATTAAGCAGTCTGCCACGGAGCTGACATGTGTAAGTACATTAACAAGACAACAGCTTACGTTTTCTGAACAATTTTTACTGAAGCATGCTACAAGACTAAAACGTCCTCTCTTCAGATGTCTCCAGCTAGGATGGCAGGTCCTCTTTCCCAACCTGGCTCATTCCTTACTTGTCCAGCCCAACGGTCCGCTACAGTGTTTCAGCTTCTCTGCAAACTAATGGAAAGCAAATAATATCACCGTTACAGTGTTGTACAGAGGTATGAACAAGCAGAATACAATGCCACGGTCCTGTTACAGGGGAGAAATTACTGTGCTTTCATTTACCTGAGGCAGGCTATTTTCAATAAATATATCATCAAATTTCTGTTTTATTTTTTGCAATAATCAGTTTTGGCCCACAGTTTTGATGTCAATTAATTTGATGTCTGACTTGAGCAAATTATCTCTTTCAAAACTATTCCAAAAGGCATATATATTTAACTATAATAAGTTAACAGCTCATTTCCATTAAGTGACCATGGACAGAAAAAGAAAAACAAGACTGAAGTTAGGAACGTATTGTTTATGCAAATTCAAGCTCTAATTAAAGTGACTCATTATGCTCAGCTGTTTTAAACACAATGGCTTCCTAAACCTTTTTATAAAATGATCCATATCATGCTGTCCTAAGGACTATCTAAGTTTGTATCTTGCCTCTTAACAGGGTCTAGTTTCAGATGCTTGAGGAGAAAATAGTGCACTCAAACAGCTGATTTCCCCTAGGTCTTCTCCATATTTCAAGCAGGTTGTAGCTCAGAGCCCTGTGTCCCTGTCCTCTTCCTCAGAGATCTTATGCATTCATTTAATGAATGAACCTCAGAATGTTCAGCATGCTTTTCTTTATAAATCTACATGTGGATGTCATCACACTGGCTGATACACAAGCTCTATGACCTAGATTTGATGATTAACAAGGTAAACAAAAAAAAAAGATTAATTGGGACCTTCCTTTATTTCTTTATAAAGTGCTGGCTGAAGGGCTCCAAGGTCCATTCATGGAATGAATGCATGTGATGATCTCTAAAAAACCACAAAGGACAAGGATGCAACTCAGCCTCCACACCCCTGAGGTAATACACCCCTCTTCAGCCTAGCAGGTAATGTCAGACACAAGACATTTTGTGCATGTTGCCAAACAGAATCTGAGCTAAGTCATTTCACAGACAAGTAATAATCAGTGGAAACCAGTAAGTGCCTAACACATACCTAAATAACTCCACACTAGGGACACAGGCATCTGCAAATTCAGGGACAGAAGGGGGACCATCAAAATTTCACTGCTGCATTCTCATGCCCTAAACAAGAAGGTCTTGACATGTAAAAGCCATGCTTAGTTACAGAAAGTATTTGGGAATCTTCTGTAAAAAGACTGTTGAGCCAAAAAGTTGTATCTTCCTTCTGGGCTGTAGCTTTCAAGATGATTCATAAGCATTCTGAACTATAATTTCCATTTGCTGTAAATTGTTATATATAGGAATGGTGTAAAGCACACCTGAGAACGTCACATCTTAAGATTTCCATCTGCCCCAGGAAAAAAAATTATTTCGGTACAAGTACAATGCAGATCACGCACGTAACAGTCAAGCAAAGTCAAAGAATGATAAGGGCCTGAAAGAACAGGCACCATTTAATATTACAGTATTCTGTGCTTCATCAAATGATCGAAAATTTATCATTAATAACATCAGAGGGAAATGTTCCGATGAATTCCATATAAGACACATTACTCAAATGTTATTTTCTTTAGAGCTGAGCTCCATGTAACATTCTGTGCAGCTATTTATAGCAAAAGCTCCTAAGGAGAAATGCAAAAATTAACAAGCCTATCCACACCTTTCCTCCCCTCATCATTCTAGCAGCTTCCCTTTTCTTCACACATCAATCTGAAACCAAGAGCTGCAATTGCATTAAAATTTCAGCCCTATTAATCCACTTAGATGAGATACTATGTTTCCTATGATCAAAGAGGCAGTTGCAACAAGCTTGATGCTAAGGGCCTGATGTTCAGTCCTTCATCTGAGGAGCTGGCTTTCTGTTACTTCTGTAGGGATCACTTGAAACCTTTTATCTACTACCTCTTCCAATCCACTACCTCTTCCAATCCACCATCAGACCTAGCATGTCATAAGAACAAATGTTATGTGGGGATGGGAGAAAAAGGCTGGTTCTGTTCTGGCAGATTTCTTAGGAAATAAAAATGCATGCACATATTCAAGGTATGTAATTATACCTAGAAGAATCCAATTAGGACATAATTACAGGAGTATGGTAAGGCAACTTTCTAATTGCTGAATAGCTCTTTTCAGGAGCTAGTTCCCAAGCTGACTTCATGAAATGTCACGAATGTAGGTAACCTCTACATTTCATGACATTGTTATTTATTTAACATGCCAGTCTCGCCAATTTTACTAAATGAGCTAAAAGACACAGTTATAAACACACACCCCTTCCTGGACTTTTTCCCTCCTTTAAAGTTAAGTGGGTAAGAGCTATGTTCTATACTTAGCAATTAATTCTCTATGTAGTATGAGGAGTTACGCTACCTGCGGCAACCTGCGAAGATCCCTTCCTTGTGCATACTCACTAAATATGTGCATCCTACCACACATCCATTTTGAAACTTTCATTCAAGATGCAACAGATGAAGAATAATCCCACTGACCACGAGCATGAATTCAAACTGGGCAACATCCCCTCCCAAACTGAGGCTCAGCCAGCATTTAACTGCTCTCTTTGCCCCATGAAAGCCTCTCAGGATGCTTGCTGGGGGAAGTCACCTCTGCTTTTTCCACACAGCTTTTAAGATTTTTGAAGTGTTTAATTAACCCATTGAAGTGGTGGACTCCCTACCAGACCTATCTCCCAGAATGGTTTCAGGTTCTCCTTAAGAAAAATGTCATTTTTACTAGGCCAAGGTGGAATGAAACAGTTGCTTGTCAGTTCAGTCAACTGCACCCACTGGATTCCCTGTAAACTATTGGACTCAACACCATTTTTTCCAGTTACTTCTTTGGAAACAACAACAGCAACAACAAAACATTCCAGAAACCTACATATTTAAGAAGCCAGCTCCGAAATATTGCTGAAGTGTTACCTGCAGTCTTAAGAGAACTTCTCCACAGGTAAAAGCTCCGTTTTTTTAAAAAAAAACAAACAAGCACAAACCATTGGTACACCAGCTTCTAACCAAACCAGAGACTACTATTTCAGTCCTACTTCAAATGACAGATCTTGCACATTTTGCAACTCTGTAATCTCAAACCGCCATCACAAATTCATTCACACACCCCCTCGCAAGTTGGAAACTCAGCAGCTACAGCATTGCTTCAGAAGAATAAAAGCTCTTCTGCGATTAAATACTTTTTACTGGATTTTGCCATCCATTCACCCAAACTCCCCAATTCATAAATCAAGCACTGGGTGGGGGGAAAATGGGAAAGAGGGAAGAGGAGGGGAGAGGGCACAGATGGGAAAAAGAAGCCCAGAATTCTGCAGTTCTGCCCTTCCCTACAAATCACCATGAGCCCAACACCAGGAAGAAAGAAGGTGGCTGGGGTTTATTTTAAAAAGGAAGAATCACTCTCCTGTCTGAAGGTCTGCTACTGTCAGTATAATATCAGATCGTGGTACTGAGTCTACCAGGTATTTTTTACACTGTCTCTGGGCACTGGATAGCACAACAGATAAATAACCTCACTGTTTCCTGCCCTTACTTACTTTTCTGGATGTGTTTCTTAAACTGAGAGCAATTCCTCAGGAACTGCTGGATTGTGATGAGGCTTCAGGTTGCCTGTCACTACTCATTCTTTGCTATTACACGTTAATAAAAGAACAACCCTTTTACGTACATTTGGAACTGAATCACAGAAAATCAAGTAAGTGCAGAACAGTGAATCATTTTGGTATTAAACTGCTACATATTCACTCAAAATGAGGTTCTTCTATGCTACAATTGGAGCACTGAATTTGAATTTTAACCATATATCCTGTTTCAATTTATTTAACAGAACAAACTGTTAGATCACTCAAACAAAACGATATTTTGCAGAAAACAAAGCAGAAATTGATTCGTCTGAAGTTACCGACGCTTTAGAAACAGAAAGTACATGAATGTCTTATATATGCAGACTTGACTAATATACACAGAAGAGAGGAAAAACACATTAAACAAAAAGACTTTTTCCCCACTAATTCCAGTAGTCCACTGTTCAACATCCTTTAAATGCAGCTCCAGCTCTCTAAATAAATGACAATTCAATTCCACCTAAATTGATGCAGTGTATTTTGAAGGAAACAAGACCAGAGCTTTTCCTTTCACTCAGTAAGGACTCAACATTGTAGCAACTGAAACAATAACTATTTTGATTCACTTGGAAAGAAATCCCAGTATTAACTGTGCAAGACTGCGCATCAAGTTCTTGCGGATATGCAACATTTAAGAATTTACTCAAAATGACTAAATCAATATTCAGATTTCACCATGTCTTCAGCACTATTATGGACTGTAATCTGGGGTAGTGCATTTTTAGAGGGGCCTTAGGCGCTATTTTTCGGCAGCCTGCTGTCCAGAGGCAGCACCTAACAAAGCAGCAGGATTCCAGTATTACAAACCTGACAAAAGCAAAGCATTTTAAAGCTCTGCTCCCTACGCCTCCTTGTAATTATACAATGTATACCGGTGGTACTACACCACCAGTAATAAAACCTACATCATTTCTGTTGTGTCTCACAGCACAGAAAAGTTATACAAAGAAAACACCCACACTTTTATTTGGTTTTAACTATTTCAGCATTCTGATTATGCCCTTTGCGTGAAAAACTCGTATTAACTGAAGAGTCTGTAATAATTTTTCAGGGTGGCAGCATGTATCGCACCAGAAGCCAGACGCATTTTCATGTCCCATTTTAACATTCCGAAGGAATGCAATCCGAACGGTCGAGCCGCGACCATCGAGCACAAAGAAACAAAAGCGCTTCCACTCAAAACACCGGTTCCTTGTTTGCACTGTGCTCCTACGACTGTTTGTAGGCATTCGTTCCATCCCAGCCTCACCCCAGCGATCACCCCAGTCACCGGGGCGAGCCAGCTCCAGCAGTGACATTCTGAAAGGCGTGTGACACATCGCGCAGCGCAGAACTACTCAAGGCACTGCTCACCAGTGTAGGAACTAGAGCGCTCGGTGGGGGTTTCTGCCCCGCATCACGACGCCACAGCCGGTGCTCCTGACCTATTTTACGGCCGAGCACAACGGAGCCTGCAAAGCGGGGCCGGGCCCCGAGCGGCACGGGCAGAGGGATGCCGTGTCTCCCAGGCAGAACTGCCGCACGAAGGCGCCGCGGCCCGGCGACAGGGGGGGTTCTGCCGGAAGAACTAGCCCGGTCCCGGCCTGGCGGCGGCAGAGGACCCATACACAAGGGTTCCCAGCGGGCACCGGCGGTGGCCGGCAGCGCCCGTCACGTGATCCCGCGGGCGGGGCGGGGGATGGTGGTGGTGGTGGTTCCACACTCCCCCCTCGCCCCTCCACCAAAACAATACCGGGCACGGCTGCCCGCCGGGCCCCTCAGTCGCGGCGCTCACCGGCCTTTTGTTCTGGGTGACCACCCCAGCTCGCTCCCTCGCCCGCGGACAGCGCCGGCCCCGGGCGGCCGCGGAAGAGGGGCGCTGTTAGAGCAGCCGTTAGCGGCGGCCTCCTCCTCGTCCTCCACCGCCCCCCAGACCGGCCCTGGACGCGCTCGGTGCGGCACTCACCCGCCGCTCAGCCCGCAGCCGCCGCCGCCACCTGCCGCCTCCTCCGGCCCCACCGCCGGGACAGCGGGACGCGCCGACGTCACACGCGGGACGGAGTGGCCGAACGCGCCACTGTGACGCGGCGGAGAGGGAGGGGCGGCAGGAGCGGGGGAAAGGACCGCGCGCGTGCGTGCGTGCGTGCGTGACGCCACTACGTGACACCGTGTTGCCCCGTCCCCGGGGCGGTGCCATGGCGGTGGGGCTTGACCGTTGTTGCTGGGCTAACGGGGACCGGGGCGGCGACGTCGGGGCTGCGGCTCTCCCGGCACCCTGTGGTGAGGCCCCGAGGCGCTTGGGAGCGCCGGGAGGTGGGCACTGCTTGCCCTGCCCGTCCTTCCCGGGACCCCTGCCGAGGTGGAAGTCTCCGTGTGGTGGGTTGTCTCTGGCTGGGCACCGGATCTGTCACTGCCTTGCTCAGCTGGACGGGGGAGAGAAAATACAGCGAAAGGCTCGTGGGTCGAGATAACAACAGGGAGCGATCACTCACCAGTTACCGACACGGGCAGCGCAGACTCGACTCAGGGGAAAAATTAATTTATTACCAGCCAGATCAGAGCAGGATAATGAGAAATAAAACCAAAAATTAAGACACCGTCTCCTCACCCCTCCCTCTTCCAGGGGCCAACTTCACTCCCAAATTCTCCAGCTTCTCAGAAGCACAGGTGGAAGGGAAAGGGGGATTGCAGTCAGTTATCACACGTACCCTCTGCTGCTCCTTCCTCCTCAGTGGGAGGACTCCTTACATTCTTGCCCTGCTCCAGCATGAGGTCTCTCCGCAGCAGACGGTTTTCCACCAACTTCTCCAACGTGAGTCTTTCCCGTGGACTGCAGTTCTTCATGCACTGAATTCCTCCAGTATGGGTACCTTCTATGGGTGCAGTCCTTCAACAACAGCCTGCTCCAGTGTGGGTCCCTTGTGGAATCACAAGTCCTGCAGCAGACCTGCTCCAGCGCGAGCTTCCCACAGGGTCACAGCCTCCTTCAGGCATCACCCTGCTCTGACGTGGGGTCCTACATGGGCTGCAGGTGAAAATCCGCTCTGCTGTGGACCTCTGTGGGCTGCAGGGGAACAGCCTGCCGCACCATGGTCTGTACCATGGTCTGTAGAGAAACCTCTGCTCTACTGCATGGAGCAACCCATGCCCTCCTTGCACACTGACCCTGGGGTCTGCAGAGGTGTTTCACATGTTCTCACTTTTCTGTCCAGCTGCAGTTCTGCAGGGTTTATTTTCCCTTTTTTTTTTCTTAATTGTGTTATGCCAGAGGTGCTGAGTTGGTCTTGGTCTTGGCCACCGGCAGGTCTGTGTTGGAGCTGGCTGGCATTGGCTCCATCAGACACGTGGGAAACTTCTAGCAGCTTCTCACAAAAGCCACCCTATAGCCTGCCTGTTACCAGCACCTGGCCACACAAACCCCATGCACCCCTCCAGTAAGAAAAATCGTGGAAGTGGTGGGATCCCCAGTGTGTATATTTCCTGGAGCCTTCTGCCCAGAAGGTAGAGAGGCAAGCTTCCTTGGGGTTCATCTTTCAAGTGTCAAGGTATTGATGATCCAGGCTGGTGACAGCACTGCAGGAAAATGAACTAGCACAGCTCCATTACGCAAGATTAACTTGAAGACAGATTGCATCTGTCCCCGCTGATGAGGACAGGGAGTAGGTAGAGCAGGAGGCATGAAGGGTTGGTGGCTTTTCCCCCAAGCACATTCTGCAGCTCATTTGCCTGAAGATTTTAATGTCTTAGCAGCTGGGCAAAGTCACTGCTCCAACTTAACCAGGTCAGTGACTTGTGTTGCTGTGCACTGCCCAGCTGTGGTGGCTGGTGAGGCTCTGGCTGGTTTGGTGTCTCCCACAAGTGGAGACAGATTTGGGCATGATGCAAATGTAACTGCGGGGGGGGGGGGGGGGGGGGGGGGGGAGCAGACTCTCCTGGAGCTGAGCTAGTCCCTTTGGGATGGATGCAGGGAGAAGATTTGTGTTGCCTGCTGTTGCCAGAAACAATTGGAAAGTCTGCTGTATTAATTATTCTGGAATGGAACAGAATGGGAAATAATAATCGACACATCATTCAGGCTGGAATGATGATATTCATTTAGGTGGAGAAGGGAGGCTGTGTGTCCAGGTACCCAATGCACATAAATGGAAAACTAAATGTTTCAACATTTCTAAAGGTGCAAACTGTGTAGTCAGGAATACTAAACCAAACGGGTTTAGTTAAACCACTGAGTCTTTCTAGAAGTCTGGAAGAGCCTACCCACTGTTAGCCCTGGTTTTAGCAAATGTGACATGATTGCATCCAGGGACAA